AGAAAGAAGAAGAAAATATGATGAGTAAACACTCCTAATAAGTTCAAAACTATTTGAGTAATGAAAATGATGTTAAAAAATATGAATTAATGAAGAGAGTTATCAATAAAAAAATTAATTAAAAATATAAGTATAATATTTTTAAAAATAAAAAAAATAAAATAAAATAAACGGGTTGACCCGTCAATTCACAAGTTGATTCTAATCCAACCCGTAATTTGTACGGATTAGTTACAAGTTACAAGTTCAAAAATGTAGAACTTATTATATTTTTATAGGTTAAATTAGGATCAGATTAACTGGTAAGATGAAATTTTTATCACTTCTACTATTCGCAACTACTCTCCATTATGTCTTACCCTATAAAATTTTACTTATCATACTAAACAAACCCTTAAATAAACAACAATATAATGGAGTAGGCAGTTTAAATTAAACTAAATAACATTTTTTAAAAAATTTTAAAAAGAAAAAAATTATTCGGCTAATGAGAAAATTATAAAATATTTTATCCTATTAGATCACGGATCTGGCAACGATGGAAGTAACCGAAAGCGAAAGGTCAACAAGGGTAAAAATGAGATGAGATTACCTTAATGCGATTTTCCTGTGATCGTCTACGAGGAGATAGGTGGATTTATCCAAGTAAGCCACGAAGAAAGTGAGTATGATATCAATGGCGAAAAAACCGTCAACTACGAGGTCGACTTTGGTGAGATTCCCCGTCGCCGCTCTCTTGAATGCCAACTCGAAAATAGACGCCCATGCAGAGTACAACACCAGCACCACCAGAAACGTCTGCCACCACCTGCATCGCGCTGAGCGCAAGAGTCATTACCGCGATAATTTTAATTTTAATTTTAATTTTAATTTTTTTCTATGAATTTCAAATTTCTAGATCTGAATCTCGGCGATCGAGAATACTAGTACTATTACTTGATTTTGCTTTCGCACCACTGTGAAGCTCAAAGAAAACCAAATCATTTTGGTCCGGAGTAAACTAAAGAGCAGAGAGTTGCAAGAATACGGAAGAGCAGGGAAGATAGCTTGAGAGAGAGAGAGGATTGTACCGATATCTTCGATCGTAAGGAGCGATGATGTAGTTTTTGAGGTTCAGGTAACCGTCGTCGACGATTGTTCCGAACGCCGGCAACAGGCTACTTGAGACGGTGGCTAAGTTCTGGATTTCACCGCTGGATCGTCTCCGAAACAGCAGCGGGGCCGGCGATCTTCTTTCCGCCATCGATACTTACCAGAGAGAAGAGAGAAGAGAGAAGGAGATCGAGAGAGCGAGCGGCAAGCTTCTTGTGTTGTGTTTATAATATATACGGATGACAAGTCTCAGGTGATTTGGAAGTTTAAAGATGATTAGAAATTAGAATAGGAAACCATATTTAAGGGCAGGGCAGGTGCAATGTGCGCTCACAGGTTGGAAATTTGAGATTTGTTTTCTGAATGAAGCCAATGCTGATAAATTATTTTAAAGTTGGGATTTGAAAAACTCTCCAACTCAGGAAATCCATTTTAAATAGGTAATTAGGCAATGAGTGAAGTCAGGAAAACCCACATTTCTATAAAATTACTGTATTAATGATCAATCTATGTCATATTTGTATTTTGATGTTTGCAATGATGGTAAATAATACTTTGACAGGTTGACATTTTTTTTTATTTAACGCATTATTTAATCCTTCAACTTATAAAAACTTATAAATTTTAAAGATATTAGCCTCCACTTAAAAATTTAAAAGTATTAGCTTTTCCACAAAACAATTTAAGAAAGTTTCTCTTTGTTTAACGGTTTTTAAGTGACACCTTTGGGTTTATTTGATAAGAGAGCAAGTTATTATGAAAGACTTTATTAAAAAATTAATTAGAAAAATAAAATACAAATAGTTGATAAGTTTTATAATAAAGTTTTGTTAAAATTTTGTTAAATTGGTAATTTTTTTTATATTTGGAAAAAAATTAGCATATAGAAAGTTGGTAGAAAAATGATTAAGATGGGGTCTCATGTAAGGAAAGTTGAGGGAAACTATACCCCTTTTAAAAACTGTAGGAAAAATGTTTATGGGTTGAGAAGAATTATGTAAGAAAAAATAAAGACTATAAATACCACTTCTACCATCTTTTTGTTATAATATTAATGTGTAAAAATATATAAATAATTTTATAAAAAAATAAGAGCAATTTAAGGGAAAATTCTCCTTTAACCAAATAGCCCCTTAGTTAAATATTATTTTTATTTTTTTTATATTAGTTACACAATGAGAGGAAACTCTTTCCAATCGTACCATGTAATTTAAATTTAGAATTTCTTATTTTCAGCGAAAGGAGATTATCATTAAATTATTTAAATCATTAACAATATTATTTCTATCTTAATAAGTGATATATCAACATCTTTATTTTATATGATAAATCATTTTGTGAAAATCAATAAAATTTTTTTTAAATGTAATAGGAGTCTCACGCTATCTTCTTATTAATTTTTTTTTAAAAAAGCGAAAAAGTTAAAAATCCAACTACCTGCCAAGGTGACATACCATGTAAGGTAGAAAAGTTGTTGACATCAAATTAATGGCATGCTGTTCAAAATATTAAATAGGAGAAAATTTCTTCGAATTATATTATTGAAAGGTTAAAATCTTTAGATTTTTATATAAAAAGTTAATACCCTTAAAATCTATAAATTACAAGCTAAATAAAGAATCAAGGGGTTTTTTTTTATTTTTTGTCTAAATCTCATATATTGTAAACTCCGTATTTCGTGAACGCCACAACCTTCTAGGCCAATTAGAAAGGAGCACCACATCAAATCTATGGTTGGGTTGGTTAGAATTTAAGTTTATCGAAAAAGTAATTAAAAAAATATTATATAAAAAGTTGTTATATTTTATAATAATTTTTAAAAATTTTTTATTTGATTGTTAATACTTTTATATTTATTAAGTAATTAATATTAAAAAAGAAATAAAAAATTGTTAAATGAGTCACATATAAAAAAAATTAGAAGAAATTTTTTTCTTAATAAAATAGAAAAAAAATTAATTGATTGAAAATTATATCAAGAAAAATAAATAATAAATATATTTTTATTTATTTATTTATTATAATTTTAAGATATATAAATACAAAAATACCTTTATAAAATATTGATGGAGGACATACTTTAAGTAAACCAAACACCGTAGGTTTGAGTTTTCGAAAGCCCAATCCCCTCCCCCCTATGAGTCATGATTGTATCATTTGTATGTCTGTTTTTTTTTTTTTTTTTTTTTTTTTCTGATGAATAAAAAAAAGAAAAAAAAAAGGTAGACTTGGTGTTTCGTAATCAGACCAAGTTTATGATTTCCAATTTTCCATTAATAGTAGAATTGTCTGTTTCTCAATGGCAACCATTAAATTTCTTATACACAGTTGGGATTCAATTATACATAGTTTATATATATACATATATATATAAATATATAATTTATATAAAATTTTAATGATTTATCTCTTTTTTATTAATAATTGAGATTTATTATAAATTTTTAAATAAAAAATAATTTTTTTGAAGATAAAATAAAATTTAAATATATCTCAACTATAAAAAATTAAATAATAAAATTTTTTATAAATGATATATGTTAAAGTTGTGTTAAGTAAATTCATGCCATTCAGAGTCAAAAGGGTTCAAGATGAGACTCAAAGGGTCAAGATGGGATCCATCTTACAAGCAAATCTTGAAATCAACCAACAGTGGTGACATGCGAGAAACAAAATCACACCTGCATTTAATTGGGGGATTCAGTGATGAAGTCCATCAAAAATTAAAAGTTAAGAACAATGTTAACTTACGAGTACGGGTTTATTCCTTACACTGCTTCTGCTTGGCATGCTCCTCTACCATTTTTTTCTTTTTGGTAAAATCCTCTACCAATCTTTTGTTTATGTATTATCACATGATTATGAAAATTTCTTTTGTTTGATTTACAGATTAATAATGATTTTGTTGGTCATTTGAAATAATAAAAAAAGGGGAGTGAGGTGGGAATTGTGGAATTGGGCACTGAAGTAGACAGGAGTAGTTGACTTGAGGAACATATCAGGCGGAAAGGAGAACAGCAAAGCTGTACAAAGTCATACCATCGCATTAACCCAGAGGGAAAAAAAAGTCCTCTGCTACAAAATAATTTACATATTTCACAAACAAAATTTTTCAACATCTGCATTGCACTTGGGTAATAGAGAAACAACACCGATACAATGAAAGTGGAAAAATCTAAAGCTATTGGCTAGCAGTATAATTTTCCCATATAAAATGCTCCACTAATTAAGTGGAGAAAATTATATTTCAAACTTAATAGTTGCAGCGATGTGATCCTTTTTATGCATAAATGTCAAAAATTCACATTTTCAATGATAAGCCTCCAAGATGGACCTGTAATTATATTTCGCCAGATGAATTTTTCATCGCATAACTTCCGTTGTGGGTATAGTCACCACTAAACCGGTTGCCATATCAGAAAATGAAATGAACAGAGAAAGCAATGACCAAAACAACCTGTATTGTGTTGGGCTTTGAAAGTTCCTGGTTTTCAAGGCAGCTGGCGATTGCATGCTTCCATCGAGCTGCTATTGAATATGCCTTGTGAATTCTCAATGAAGCAATAGAGTCAAGACGACATTGAAGCATCTGCACTTTGTGAGCAATGAATTACATGTATTGAGACAGCCATTGCTTACACATATCAAGCACAGGAAGTGCGTTTGCATGCAAAGCCTACAAGATAATGTTAAAAAAAAAATGTGAATTTTAGATCAGCTGGCATGACAATTAGCAGTTAAAGGATTTAACTTATCAGTTTGTTCTAATAGGAAAATGGATAATACTAGCCTTACAAAACATTTTCAAATAACTCTCATACACCCATGTGGCAATTGGATTACACCAATAGAAAAATTAAGATTAGGCCATATCTTACTACATTATTACTATTGATAACTAAAAGTTCCAAGATGTATGAATTAGGAAACAGCATTATCAGTTTATATGTGTAGTCAAGAGAGAATTGTTAGCACCCACTCAAGTTCCATAGCGCAATTAAGTAACCAAAAAATAAAATAGTTCAAGCTAGTCCTCGAGGAGGTTTGATGCTTTTACAAGTAGAATCATACTCTGCATATCTTGTCAACACTTGAGGTACTTTAGGGTCTTATCCATCCAGCATGAAGTATTACCCTAGTTGCTTCACAGTTCACACAGTTCATTGTTGCCAATTATTGAATTTATGGCCAATTAACTCCCACGAGCTAATATGTCAGTCTCAAGCAAACTTAGTGCACGTTAAGCTAAACCTGACCAAACATAGACCTGAACAGTATAATTGTTCTTCTGTTTCCAAAAAGTACTCGAATTTCTTGTCAATCAATCTACTCAGTTTTCCAATACAAAGGACCAAATTTAGAAAATAAATCGATGTATAGTAACATAAGATGGGAGGAAGACCTGATGTGCTACATATTGAACATCAGCTACACTTCCACTTCGAGAAGCAATCTGGAAGGCACTTTTTAGACGGCCACAAACCACACAAGCCAGCACCTTCCTGCACACGATGACAGTAAAAGATGGAAATAAGATGAGGAATGCCCAAGCAATATGTTAAATCCCAATTATTATCCCTCTAAACTGACATAAAATAAAAGAAATATCGACATATGGTGTTTACTGTTTAGTCATAACCAAAATAATTACCTGTGGTTGCTGGTTAACATGTCTATAAGACGGTCAGGGCGTTCTTTATGTCTATTAGCATATACATTGATTGCAGCTCCCAAGACCTACAGAATTTCCAAAAGGCTATGTTAGTCACATTCATTGAACAAAACAATCCAATAAAAAAAAAAAAGGGGGAAAAAGAGACCATATTAACATCCAAAATTGCAAAACAACAGATAATCTAGTATGCGTAGCATTTCCATTGAGCTCATTGTTACCAGATGGCGGTTCTTTTTTTAATGAAGAAATATCAATTGCATGAAAAATTAAAATTAACAGTATTGAGCTCATATTTAACTTTCTAGTTAATTCCTTGCAAAAAATCAAATATACTGAGAATTATTGGTGTTCGGAATATGATTTTTTTTTCTTGTGTTATTTATAACTAACCATTTCATCTTGTGAACTAATATAAAATTATATAATCTTGGGAAATTCGTTTGCATCTAATGCTTCCAGTTCAAATTTCCAAACTGAGTCTGTTCCCGATCAATATTCATTTTCCTTCATTTCATCTTCTTTAGATGATTAACCACTTCAGCTTCTGAGCTAACTAAGTGCCTGTTTGGTGCAGCTTGTTGGAGCTTTTATTTTTTTGTACTGTTTATGAGTGATAAGTTTAAATTTTTATTGGAGGGAAAATTTAAAAATTGCTTTTAGAGATAGGAAAAAGTGAGTAAAACAGAAGTTTATGAAAAGCTTGAATTTGAAGCTTTTGATTTTTTACTGTTTAGGATCTTTTTAAGATTAAAAAAATATTTAAAAATGTAAGTTTTTAGGAGGGAAATTTAAACTTATGAAACATAAATAGTGTCAAAAAGCTGAAGCACTTGGGAAGCTGCACCAAACGGACCCTAAATATGCCCCCAGAATAACACCAATGTGGCCCACACCATGCTAACATAAAGGAATTGCTTTACCTGGTCCCAGTCATCATCAGCAATTGTTCCTTTTATGTTTCTAAAAAATTCTGTCAACTGGCCACCCTTTTTCCTTTCAGCAAGTGATGCAGCAACACAAGCATATATATCAACAGCTGCAAGATAAAAAGCCCCAAAATGTTAAATAAACAATTGAATTAAGCTTTACACTATTAAGTAATAGCTGAAAGGGAATCATATATTAGGCTACCTGGAAGATTAAATGCATATATTACTTGGAAGGCCAAATCAAAATTCTTCTCCACAAGAGTTTCTGCAATTTGACACCTTCTCCTGAAAACCAACAAGCAAAGAAGATTAGTATATCTGACTATTGTGTTGTTTTCTCAGTCGTGCTCTGCTAAACAATAGCTTTACACACATAAACTGAAAAGGTTTGTTTTCTGTCAGTTATATTCACATATTTAACCACTTCTTAAGATACTGGATACTGACAGGCTGAGAAATTTTTAACAAAGTTTTGTTTTGAGCCTGCAAAATTTCATTGTTTAAACTTGATAGTTACTATTCTGCTGCCATTATCAATGTTTCGAATATTTCTACTTTTAGATTCCATAGAGAGTATGACTATATCTTCTTGAAATTAAAATAAAAAAAGTAATGATATTGCAGTTTATCAAGAATCACCAAAGGCCCATAATTATTAAATGATAGACTTTTGACCAACTCATTCCATAAGGGAGATGAGAGGTCTGACTTCTCAAGATAATGGAAAAATATAACTCTAGTAATAATTAAATGGACCCAACCATAATCAAGATGACATTAACCTGGAGGTTTCTGGGTCATTTGGATTTCCAAAAAGTGAGTATTTCCACTGCGGTCTATCTGAATCATTAAAGGATTTCACAACTTCCACCTGCAAAGTATGATAATTCAACGTAAGCTTGCTACTAAAAACCGAGGTTGACAAAAGGAGAGTACAATAGGAAGTTCATCAACCGTTTGTGATTCTGTCATAAAAAGTACTCTGTTTTTGACACCAATGAAATTTAAAATTAGAGGAACCTTTATCTTTGTTAAGGAAAGAAAAAAATTAAATATTCAAGCTAATGTGAATCAAATCATCTCCGGGCAAAAGAACCCCTTAATCTCATGTCTTCATTGACTGTTGCAAGCTCACTACAGCATTAACTTTTTGTTTTGAACATATCCCTACTTCCTACCTGAATAGACACTCTAGCTGAAAACTTCACAAGTTCTTCTTCAGTAAGCTTCTCTGATGCACTTTTCCCTCTAACACCCTTTGTGACAAGCTTGGTAGATTCTCCACCTTTATATCGAGCGGACAACCCTTCATCAAAATGCATCTACACCAAAATAAAGTCAGAGCATTGAGATACACTCAATTATCTTAGTGACTCCTTGTGCAGAAAATATTCTATATATGTACTTTTTCAAAAACTAATATCCTATCATAGATTTTCTGTTTAAAATTCTCTATGTGATGCTGGTGCAGAATAAATGAGAGTGGAAATAAGATAATTATTATCTACTTGCCTTAGCATGTTCCAAGTGTTTGATAGCTTCATCTTGTGAAGAAGAAAACGTGAATAACTGGATGCAGCATAGACCAGCAGCAACGTGGTCCTTCCTGATCACCTATGAATCATTGAATAATCAAAGTCAAGCAATTATAAAGCCAGCTTGAAAGTAGAAACTATGACATGAAATTCAGCACAGATATGGGAGAAAAAGGTGGCTGGGGTAATGTATCTACTCAGATAATGCCAAGTAGTCAGTTGATGGCCACAATTTACAAAAAGAAACAAATACTGAGTAAACTCACAAGCCTAAAAGGGTTAGAAAATGTTTTATTAAAGGTTCAACACTTAATGCTATTATTATTATTATTATTATTATTATTATTTATTTATTTATTTATTTTTCCTTCTGGGAGTATAATGATTAAAACACTAACAGTCCAAGAAGTCAGCAAGAGAGGGTGAAAGACTGTTATGAGCACATTAGATGATGAAATGAAAAATGTAATCTTCTCTTCTCCTTAGACACTCATCTAAACAATAGTCCAATCTCATAATAGCAAATAAAAAAAAGGGGACTAACCTGGAACTTGTACAGATAATTGAAATGCTTATGGGTTTCACAAAAAGAGCAAATTCGGGCAAGAGCTGCAGCTGTGTACTGATTTACAGATTCATCCTGTCGTTTTGCAGGTGACATTCTTGTCGAAATCACTTCCTCCAGAACTGCCATTGCACCATAATCAATACAGAACTCACACAAATTATCAATTGTCCCATAATCTGTTGCCAAAGGATCTTGTCTTTGAGCAGATGATGATGAGGTTCCTACTCCTGTTGTTGAGGGTTGAGGAGGAGAGGGAACATCATCAGGAGGAAAGAATAAGAGGCAAGCCTCATTGTAGTGGCCATGCCTAAACATAAAACCAAGCAAATGGCAACGAGCATACTGCAAAGATGAAGGAAGGGACCAGATCAAAGAACTGATCACCTATTACAGCAACATATACTATCACAAACTAGGAGAAATGAGAGAGAAAAGAGCAGTAATAGCAATAACCAGCAGGTAAACAATGACAGCAAATAAACCAATCAAAGATGAAAATTTTGAATGAGAATGTTGAATTCTAGTTACCAGGTCAAAACACATAATAAAATGATTTAACACACTGCCAAACTTGTGCTAATTATATATCTACACAAAATCCCTGTATCAGAGTTCAGAGTTTCTAACTAGAACAAGCAATTGGTGCATGCACGTGTCTAAAAGAAGAAACAAATTTTTTCTTCAAATGAGAGATGCAGGGGATTCAACCTTGGATATCTCCATTCTAGGGGAGGGGTAACAACTGCTAGCTGCTAGGCCAAGGTGGAATGTTAGAAAAAGCATAAATTAACTAAAATAATACTGAAACATGATACTTGCAAATTGCTTCCAGCTGTTGATTCACACCAAACAAATATAGACATGCATAAGAAGAATGTTGAACTTACTTCCTGTAAGTAGTAAACACACTCAGCATAACGAATGCTGTCTAGGTTACTATGAGGGCCATCTTCTAAGTCAGAGTCATAGGGGGAATCACTATTTTCAGATTCTTGAAACCTCCTGGATTTCTCTGAACGTGGAAATGTTGATGGCATGTAGAGAACATTGAGATATGAATCAGCAGAAAGAGAATCGTCCAAGATTGTTGGTGCACTTTTGGCCAAATGCTCATACCTGCAGTTTATTAAATTCCATTAGGAAGATTCCAAACCGTGACAAAGGACAAACTTTTCCATTCTGTTTATGTTTTTTTGAAGATAAGGTCCCAACAGATATAAAACTTCAGCTGGTATGTTCTTTATAATATAAGAGTGCTAAAATATTGAAACAAAAGTTGCCTTCATGGTGTGGAAATTTTGTAGATCATGTCTAGTTTTCTAGATGGAACTTCTAAACTTTTAGCCCCATTGGCAATGCAAGATCTAAAGAGAATTGAATATGAATTCTAAGATGTCTGCCATCTTACATGGAACGAACCATAGACACATCCACAGGTGGACCTCCTTCAATTGTATTGATGATGTCTAGAATGACAGATGCAGGATCACCCTTATACAATTGAAGAGCTTGCCTGAAAGCCACAAAGTAAGAAACAAAATAAGCAAACATGCGTGTATGGTATTCCATATAGGACATAATCCATTTTACATGACATGCATGTTTGCAATAAGAATTTTACATACTTGAACTTCACACGAGCTTGTGCATGGTGCTCCATCTGAATTAAAGCGTTTCCCCATGCATTCCATACAGGAAACACATCAATCTGAGAAAAAAAAAAAAACCTTGAGTATTAACCACCTTGCAATCTTCCGAGCAGAACAGCATTCCCAATGAGTAGATTCAGTAGGATATAGCCCACTATCATTACCTTACACTTCTTGCAAGTATATACGGCCATGCTATAGCGTTCATCAACAATCAACCTGTCACGGAGACTGGCTGATGACTCCTTACTAGCAATGTCATCAAGAGAAGCAGCAATTCCTGATCCCAGAAGGCTCTGAAGAAGCTCAGCACGCCCCAGCCATATATCTGCCTTTGACAAAACATCAGATAGCTCATCATTGGACTGACTACCCACACTAGAGCTACCAGTATCAGAGGATGCATCATCAGTGTCCCTGCTTTTCTCAGAATTACTGAACAAGTCAACAACCCCAGCTAGCTTTCTCAGCAGGGATTTAGCATATGTGAGTCCCTGTGTTTGTAACAGAAGATTTCAAGTTGCAAACCCTAATAAACCAAATTTGGATAATAATGCCATGACATGTATTGCTAAAGCTGGGGAAAAAAAAACAATAGCAAAAAATTCCATGCTCCTTTACAACTAAAACCATGATGCTGAACCTCTTCTACCATCTGCAAAATAAGGGCTTAGCAAAGCCAATACCTGGACAAATGTCTCTGTTGCATGATATGCCCTTCCAATTGTCTCCATAGATGCGTTCTCTGGCACCTGCTGGGAGCTCAATACAGTCTTCATCTGATTAACACACAAGTCCACTGCACTTTTGGCAGACACTAACTCTTCAGAACACAAGGAAAGCAGAGCCTAGAAACAGTAGAAAAGAAGAGTCAGTGGACCAAAAGCTTTATGAGATAAATTCAAATCTTTCATGGACAAAAAAACACAAGATTTACAATGTCTAAACAACTACAGGAATGGTAGAACGTGCTTCGATATAATACAACAGCATTACCTCCAAGTTTAAGAGAAGCAGCTTTATTAAAGCCATCAAATACTTCAGAAAAGAATCGAAACTAAGGATGTCAAGTCATTCCATTATCAATGATATAGTGATCATTCTTTGGATGAACATGACCATGGTAAGGCAAAGGTGAACTTGTTAAAAATGAAGGATAACCTACTGGTATTCTGTCCACAATATAAGCTCATATGGATATAGGAAAAAAGAAAAAAGAAAAAAGAAAGAAGAAAAGAAAAGAAAAGAAAAAAAAGAGATAAGTACTGCTCCTAACACATTCACTGAAATTTTGTTTTAAAACCTTCTAGAATGAGGAACCAGAAACCAATAAAAGATGTCACACCATGAGTCAGCACCAACATACTGACTAAAAGTCAAACAATATGTCTTGCTCCACTAGCATACCTTGAAAAGAATAATGTCAGGGGAGCTTTCATATCGGTGAGATGCACGAACAGCTCGATCCTTCTTAACATCACCTGTTAACATCCACTCCTCAGCAATTGAGACAGAAGGAAACCGCTCTTGTCCATCTGCATATGATGATACACGATCCTCTTGGATCCCTGTCATTGCCTCCCAAGCAACTCTTTCAGATGGTGCTAATCCAGAACTCTTTCTTTTACGATAAACATCTTTTGGAGCATCCTTGTCTCCATTATTACGTGGACCCCAAGAAAAAGCTCTACGAGCCTCTTTTTGGAAGTTGCTAAAACTATTACCGAAAGATGACTTTGCAGGTGCACCTGTTCTTGTTTTTTGCTTTGTCCTTGTTACTGAGATTGGCACTCGAGCCTCTCGGGACGGAGAACTAATGCTAATAGCAATAGCTTTAGCAGCATATGTTATAACTAAACTGTTGTCTCTCAATGAAGGAAACTCTTTAAGGATCTGTTAGAAAAAACACCAAACATGGCATTCAGGCCTCTCATGCCTTGCAAAACAATCAAAGATATTTCAGAGAACTAAAATTAGTATTTAACAAAAAAAGGCTTGAGGAAATCTAAGAATTCCTGTAATACCAGAGAAGCAGATTGCAGTTGTTTCCTCATCAGCAGAACCTCCAATATTAGATGTGGATGCTCATGCAAGGAAGAACATCTTTGCTGCCATGGCAATGGCAAAGCAGACACAACACGCAAACCTAAAGCCCATGAGTTTAGCCGGGAAACCTCAACATCTGAAAGATTTCCATCTCGTCGCTTCAGGAAGAAATGAACCTTTACAACGGAATAGAAAACGATACTTTAGGGAATTTTCAAAATTTTACTAAACTGTACGGATACTCAAAAATGAGTTGAACAAAATATCAATTACAAGAAGTTGCTTTGACCGCAGGTTGGGTAATAGTTGCATTGCACCCATGGCAACATGCAAAGCATCATCTGAGTCACGTAGTGAGGATAAAAAGCGTGAAGCTTCTGCAGGACCCCCACCATTCAGAGGATCCGCAGTAAGAAGCTTCACAAGCTGTCGACCCTGTAGTTCTCTCCGTAAATCTATTGACAATCCTGCACTTTCTGCCACTTCTAAAGCAGCAGAAACAGCTCCTTTCCCAGCTAATCTAAGTGCTAAGCCTTCAGGATCCTCCTTACACTCGCCTTCAACCTGACATTGTCAGAAAAGCAAAAAGAGAAAGCACTAGAATCATAAGTTTCAATGAAGGATGAAAGAAGACTACTAGTGGAAAAAGATAGTATAAACTTCTGTCACTTTCTAGTTCCTCGTTTATCCATAAACAAAGAGAATTACAACCTCTTGCCAGCTGCTAAGGTGATCATCTGCACTTAATATAAGCCTGTACCTCTGCAAAGCTTGTCTTCTTTGCACAACCTGGATAAATATGTTGCAGACACAGTAATTATTGTGACAAAATACAGAAATCATGAAAAAACCTAAAAGAAAAACAAGATAAGGAGTTCTAGGATCTAGAGAAAATGAACTAGATTGGAAACAAATCTGGAACCTCATTCCTAAATGGATCACTTTCAGGCAGGTGGCAACTGCACATGGTTAAAACATCCAAGGCAGCATCAAGTTCCCACCCGTGCATATACCTGGAAAAAAATGTTAAGGTGTGAAGACAGGATATATATATATCCAGGTATATGAGAAATCCTCCAAGTATTAAGCATGAAAATATTATTGGAAATGAACCTTTACAATGCACAAGGAATTGGATGACAGAACTACCACATAAGAAGAATTGATTGGAAAACAAAGCACTCTCTTTAGCTTACCATGCATCCTAGCTCCAGTAAAAAAAAAATACTTATCCAGTCTAGTACAATTTAAGCAACCAAACATCATAACAGTGGAAAAGAAATATCATGGCTTGGACATACTTGAGAGCAAGTCTAGCTGCCAGTTGCTTATCCTTCAATCGAAGGCAATACTGCCAACTATTGCTCCAGATCCTGTGGCCAGTGTAAGCTTGAGGTTGTCCTAAATGGCTTTCTTCCCCACATTCAATGAGCAGTTGAAGCAGTTGGTCTGAGGCTCCATTGCGTATAAAGCGATCAGAAAGTGCAAGAGCATCCATTAACTTTCCTTCATCGATCAGCCTAAAACAAAAGAAAATTGACAACCAGCATGACACTTCTATCTCAGCAAAATGGTAAATAGTATTTATAATCATTAAAGCTCTACCCTTTTGCCCTCAAAATCCAATCCCAATAATACCCTCCAACTAAACCCCACAACTAGGCCCCGTGGCTCAAGAAGAATGGCGGCTGGGAAGAAAAAGAATGTTTGGTAGGAACTAGACTACATAATTAACCCATTCCCAGAACTAGGAAATTTCACCTCACCTAAAAGGATTCTGGAAAGAAAAAGAAAAAGAAGAAGAAGAAGGAGATATTAACTTTAATTCTTATGCAGGATTTCCTGTTTCCCTTTTCATCTTTTAGATGGCTATATTTCTTTCAGTTTCCTTTAAGAGCAGGTGAATTATAAAATTCAATATACAAATGGTAGTAAGTAGGCAAATGGGAGAGCAAACACAACAAGCAGCAAAAGAAGGGAAAAAAAAAGGTTCTCAAAAGAAAAACAAATGAGTAATACCTTTCAACAGCTTTCTCATATGGGTCTTCATTCTCCCAATCAAAAGAAAGAAAAACTGTATTATCAACTTTGGCTGTTTCAGATTCTAAGGAATCACACCACAAGTCTGGAGAAGAGCTATCTTTGACACCATGGTCAGAAGCTGCTGAAACATTATTGTTTCCAGCAATGTCATCAACTTCTGACTCAGTATCACTGTCAGGCTCACGTACTCTCTTAATAGCAGTTCTTATATCAGGTTTAACCTTGCCATCATTAGCTCTTTGCTCAGCTGTAATAGCAACCTCTGAAACTCGATGAAGGTTAGTTTGCATTTGTATCCATCTGTTCAAAGTTGGGAACCTGCTCATGAAGAAGGGTGAGACTGAGACTGTAATATGAATTAGAATAGGTTTTTTCAACTCCTGCAACACATACTTACCTTTCAGACTGATCAAGCGCAAACTCATAAAATAACCAGTCTGCATCAGGTGCCTGCAGTTCTTCATCATTCAATGTTTGACATATGGTAGATCCACTGTCACGGTACAATATGCTGCTCCCAAAAACACATGCCAGGACAGCCCTCACAGGGGACATTTTAACCAAATGTTTTACAATATCCAACTGGAGAGGGTACAGAGGGATTCCGGGTGTTGCTGAGGAACGGATGTAACAACTAGGCTTAGCTTCTTTGGCAGAAGGAGAAAGGACTTTATTTTCTGAAAAACTACGAGGAGATGAGGGAATAACTGGAATACATGCCCATCCATGACCAAACCGTGGAGGATAAACTGGAGGCACACATGCAGATATCACTTCATGAACAAAATCAGCCGACATGATCTCAGCTACTTTTACAGCTGCATCTGTGCTGCCTCGGTCAAAGACCAGACGAGTTAAAAGCTGCAAAGCAAAATAGTAAAACTATGATTATTCTGTTAAAATGAAATTAGTTAAGCCCTAATGGAATGTAAGAACTTGTTTTTATGGCTGGCCATCCATCCTGTAGATTGAGAATACAAACCTAAATTTCTAGGGATTAAATCAGATTGACATAATGACATGCAACATAAAATATATGATACCAGGACCTTCAACTACAGCAGCCCAACAAAAGAGGAAGAAAGCTTTTTATACTCTTTCAAGGGAGATCAAAGAGCATGAGCATATAATATATATTTAATACAGATGATATATAAGGGAAGAATGTGAAAACATTTACATCTTTTGGCCACTCATAAACAAGTGAGAAGAAGTTGAAATCATGCGTTGTATCAGTCCCATCAACTATGTCACCGACAGCAGCAATATGGAGAATAAATTGTGATAGAAAAGTTGTGGGTTTTGCACTTAGAGGACCAAATAGTCTCTTTCCAGCATCCTTCATATCATAACCCACAGGATGCACGTTATTGTCTGTAGCAGTTGAAGTTAAAGATGTTGGTTTCAAAGCTTTTAGCCCAAGCCCAAGTACCCCATCCTTCTCAAAACTAGGCACAAGTTTTCGATCCACATATGAACCTTCTTTAGAAAAATTTCCTTCTGTTTCTTCATCAGAGATAGCTCTTGCTAAATTATGGAGTTTACCTGAGATTTCACAGGGGAAAAAAAAATACATCATTAACAACAATAGCAGTGGAAATAAACAGTGGATGACTCTCCTAAAGAAATAAAAAAAGAAAAGGTACCGCTGAGAAACTGCCGCTTGCCCATATGAGCACCTTCAATCATCTGATGCAGCATAGCAAGAGCACGATCTCTTTGTCCCTGTCGATGAGAATCCTTAGCAGATGAGATAGCCATCTCCCCAGTAAGAATGGCAGGTAAGCCTGGAGGATTATCCTGAGAAAAAGTCAAATGACAGAATCAGAAACTAGGCAATTTGAACTTGCATCCCAAGACCTCAACCTGAATTTCAACACACAAAATGGCCCAACTCTCTAGTTTCTATTTACAATTGAATGGAACATTAAGTGGAAAATGAGAGGGAGCACTAGTAGCACTTGAAATGTGTATAAGGGAAGGGCTTATATCTCAATCTCTGCCACGATGCTAAAACTAGGTTCATTTTCCTGTAAATTCTCACATATTATCTGTTTCTTTGTTAACAATTCAATACTCCACCATTCCTAATGTCAAATGCATGTGACAAGATATCAGTATCCTATTTTTATCCACTATTGTAGATAAATTTCACATATCTGAAGAAATCAAGGAGCACTCTAGAACAATTCCTCCAGTAATACTTTAATGGATAAGGATCTCTTTATTGGATTTTAAAGTTTTGATCATCCATGAACAAGGAATCTGTTAACTGAAAACAGTCTAGCCAAGTTGGTGCCCACTAACTTTAAAACCTTAATTCAAGTTTAAAGGTCAAGGTTTCAAGACTCTATAATAGCTAAGCACTAAACTTGTTTTTGGTTAGATAGTCTACGTTGAGTCTGATTTGATTTCCAAATTGAGATTCATTGAACAAGTATCAGTATTCAGTAATCTAATTCATGTTTAAATCTACTGGCCGCCAAAGATCTCTTAACTTGATGAACAAAATTCAATAGAATCAATACCATACCTGTTCCAAGAACTCAAAAAGACGCTTCAGAACCCGTCGTGCCACCGACACAACTGCCACTTCATGGATCTGATCCCAGTAAGTAGAACCTTCCTTAGGAGAACCTCCAGGATATATCTCAGATAACATGACTTGAGCCTGTACATGAACAAATTTGTGAATTCACTTCATACATGGGAGTAGCAGTAACATGAACCAAAGAGAATTGAATTAAAGTGGACAAATTCAGTATAAATAAGTAGAATAGAAATTAGATCCTAAAAATTCCCTCCGAGAACATAAGATCATTTTTTATCAAAATCAAAATATTTGCTGTTATCTTGGCATGTTCAAGTCTAACTGACAAATTATACTTGGAGTAGCATTCACCCATCCGTTAAAAGTAAATCAAATGGACTTTCTCTTGAGACTTGTGAACAACAGTCATGCTGATATAAAGAAGAATGCTGATTTACTAGAATTAAATTCACTTGCTACTAGTACTAAAGGAAATATTAAAAGAATTACAACCTTCATAGAAGCAATTAAATGCCTAGATAAAGCAACCCAATATTAGTATAAATGTATAATTACTCTCAATCACTCAAATAATTAGAAACTTTTATGCCATGAATAGATTAAATTAGCATCAAATAATAGCTTCAAGTTCACAAAAATAAGGAGCACTGCCTGATCCAGAAGCCGGTGAGACATATTTGCAGACATTGCAGAAGTTGCAGCAACATCAATGCAAAGAAGAAGCTGGCAGAAAAACAGAAAACATCTAAGTACTTCCTAACTGAAAATGGAGAGGAACGAGACATTTAAACTGCAAGCATATGCACTTACTGCAGCTAAAGGACCTAACTGTGAACGCAAAGAGGAAAAGTCCAGATCTTGCACTGCAGAAGTCCCTTCAGCAGCTCGAGACACTGCATCTTCTACCTGAACAGGAAACTAAGAAGTTGAAGATGCAAAAGGGAAGATATCATATACAAAGACAACATTTGTGACGTAATCAAGGTTATCAAGGGGAGAACAAACAAGATTATAACCAACAAATCAACCCAATTTTAAGGAAATAGATAATTATTTTACAATTTATCTTTCTGTTAATAAAGAAATTTGATTAGAACTTTACAGTGACCGTGAACTCTGGTCTCCTCGTCAGAATTCTGCCCAACTCATTTTATAGCCAAACCCAATGCAGGCAAGCCAAAAACAATCTTAACAAAACAAATAAGCCCAATTTTTCTTGTTCCAGTCTAAAAGATTTATGTACTCTCAAATCACCATTATTCAAAGAAAGACTAGGAAAAGTCAAGCCTAAATTTCCTGGAACATTTCTCATCTATTTATCATCTTCAGTTCTTCACAAGAAAAAATAATGAGTCATGCCATTCTGCCCCCATTTTAACCCATTAACATCAGAAGCCACATAGCCATTACTCAGAAAAGTATGAAGTAAAAGAAAATGACTTGTCTATTAAAAAGCATGATTAGCAAAGCCACAATAAATGATTACACTACAAGGGTAACAAGTAATTGGCTACACTAGAAGGCTAACAAGGTAAAACATTTAAGCATGTATAAAAAAGAGTTAAATGGTGGCCAATCTAGGTCTCACATGTGCTCTTTTAATTGTGCCATCTACCCATTCAGCCAATTCAAGGGTAGCCCTGTCTTCTGCAGATAACGAAAACCGATGAACTGCCTCTTCTCCAACGTCATATTTTGCTCTTTGCATACAACTGAAGAATAACAGAAGATTAACACACTTCTTACCAATACTTTTTAGTACAAGAGAGAATTCATTCAACATTTCAACCCTCAACCTGTCAGTCAGGTACATAGAAATGCTCTCAAGAGAAAATACTTTTACATGATAGAACTAGTCCAATGTATTAATAAAGAAAGATTCAGAGTTGTTTCTCAACACCCAACAAGAAACCTTACAGGCCAATGGCATCTATTGATTGTGGACTGGTTGACAATATTTCAGTTCACACTCAACTTCTTATTAACTGAAGAGGAAATCAAAGGTGTTTTAGGGAGTCTTGTCAATCATACAAAAATTAACTGCCTTTTTCAACAAAAATAAAATGGAGCTAGACAGTTATACTTTCTGAACATTAATGATCTTGTCAAACTTCACCCAAGCACTTTCAAAGATCATCAGTTTGCCTTCTATTTTTTATTTTGATTGACATGGCAATGCTTTTAACTTGACCATAAACGTTCTTTTTAGTTCTTCTTTGCGGTCTCACATAACATTCTCTGCCTCCAACTTCTGCTATGCACTTGTTGAATTATTTCCACACTGCTACCTTGACAATTTAGCTAATTTATATTGATTCTTTAGTTTTATCCTAGATAAGTTTTATTCAGATGATTTAATGAATAATTTTTTATTTTCATCAGATCACCCATCTAGATGGATCCAAGAGCACACTTATATTCCATAATACAATCACGCTCCCAGTAACATAATTGAGTAGAAGATAGCCAAAGGGCCAAACAGAAGTAGCACCTAAGTTAAGCATGAAGGAAAATGAAATGGCAAGAAAAAGAAAATGTATTGCACCAAATAAATCACAAATAAAAGATGGCATTAATACTCCAACCTACCAACTAGATGAACCATGCCATCTTCTTGACAAGCTAGGCATTAAAAGTTGTGCTGAGTCCATTTTTCTTGATAACCAACACTCAACAGTATAAGTTTCTTTTGTTTTCAGGTCTATTTCCTCAATGTTTTCTAAGACTAGAATAGAACAATCTTAACTAGACCAACAAATTAATCATATCACCTAACCATGCCAATTTCTTGCAAGCATACTTCCTGAACTGCTTTCTCAAATCTCAAGATTAGCAAGTTGATCATCATATGAGCCAACAAACTTGAAAACTGTACATATCAAACTTACAGGTCAAGAAGAGTAGATGGAGCTGCTCTTAATATAGTCAATGCCTCCTTCCAACTCCACTGTCGTTCGGACAATGGCAAGAGACGCTGCAAAATCGATAATCGCCATTCCCAATCTTCAATGAAATGTTTACCAATTGCGATCCTCCACTCCAAGGCCTGCCTTCCACCTGTACTCAAACCACCATTTGATTCCTTCTCTTCTATCATGCTTGATGGAAGATTTCGATGCAATATTTCAAGGAGTAATCCTGTGAAAGATATAACCATTTGGTTTCCCCCTTCACATGCAGTCAAATCAGCAAGTTCCCGAGTACATTTGGAGCGCAAATCAGAAAAGCTCCCTGGTGAGGCACAATGTGTCAAATCCAGAGAGATATCATCCATATGTAGAAGTGAAATTACAACGTTCACCATCATTATCTGCACCAATGAGTAGAATCAATATTACATAAATACTGAAAATAAAGCAGTTAGAAGACACAAAAGGACAAGCATTAATGTACATTATCACCAAAAAATTATGAGAATTAAGATACAAAGAAAAATGATTGAGTATTCAAGCTAAATAAACAAAATAATACTATTAATTATGATAACTGAGATCCTAGCATGGCAATATGATAAATGTATCAGTATCTTTGAAAAACATGATTCCATGGTTAATTTCCAATGGAAACAAGAGTGAAAATGCAGTTTGCAATCTTTTCTACACCATTCTTTAATGCCCATCAAAGAAAAATATTAGGCAGGCTTCTAATGTTGGAGAAACAAACCTGTAAACTTGGAATAAAAGAAGATAACAAAAGCATGGACTGCACTTAAAAGTTAAACATGTTTCAGATAATCTAGAGCACAAACAGATTACCTTGCGTGCAACATTTGTGATGGCTTCCAGATGATTCCCTAGGTCTTTTAAGTAACTTAATGCCACTTGATGTCTCTCTTTTTCATCAGTCATTTTCCTTTCCATTGCTCCTAGAGCAAGAACAGTTGATTCCAACACATAACGCATGTGCATAAGTTCAATATCTTGCACCCTACCACAAAGGAAAATACAAATGAAATAAGGCTTACTAGAAAAGAATGTTTCTTTTCTAAGTATTAATAGATGAGGTAAAAGAAAAAGGAAAAGCAGCAGGCACTATAACAAGACAACTACATGAGACAATGTAGTTGTACCATGTGGTCATTTTGTTGCTTTGTGTTTGCTATGTGAGTTGATGAAGTTGAATTGGGTTGGAGTTCCCCTTGAACTCCAAATAATAAATTTTATTTTGCCATAAAAAACACAACCTTTCAAACAAGACCAAGGACCTACCCCAGCATTCACCACAAACACTCACAAGAGCTAGCAATCACTTGGCTGGCATGCAAACCAAATTTAGGCATCTAATGGCATTGGCATCAAATAGATTCTAAAATCTAAATCAAGCATCAATACAGCATAAAGACCAAATTAAAACAGATCTGCAGAATTAAATCTGCTTGCACACCTTTTCCAGGCTTCCAAAGTAGAAGCAATAGGCTGCATGCTGATTAATTCAATGGCATCCTGAAATTTTATGCCCGGAACAACATCAAATAATACCTGCAGAACAGAAATTGCTGTTAAAACATAATACTGCAAGTAAAATGAAACACAATTTTGAATACCAAGTGAAAGTCCATTTACATGCCCTCTAGAATCAAAAATCCTCTACTCTTTAAAACAACAACTCAGGATGGAGAGACATTCAGTTCAATGACTGTCAATTAGCTCTTTGTACCAACATTGAAATGTTGGTAGGGGCACATTCCACATGAAGAATATTTATATTAATGGGAAAAATTAAATGTTTCATGATTGATTGCTTCCTTGTAAGCAATAAAAACCTCCTCTAAATGAGCTACAGTGGCATTCGCTACTGGCTTTGTGGTAATGTAGAATGATGAGAGAATTAAAGATTCCAAGGATAGAATCAGGGTAGTTTTGGAGAAAAAAAGAGATCAGAATCAAGAAAAATGCATTTCAAATTTCTTGACAATTAATTTCAACATTTCCTAGTCTAACTTGTTTGC